GTCTGTCTCTGTGTCCCGCTGTACCATCTTTAGCGACAGATGTTTGACCTCGTGGTTCCAGGGTGACTGCGGCCCCCCATCCCCCCCAACCCCGGCAGGGAGGAGAAAAGGACCTTCCTCCTCCGAGGCTCTTTGTCTTTTCGGTTTGGAAAAGGAAATTCTTCCCTGCAGTTACCTTCTCAAGCATTGGTCAGACTGCGTTCACATGGCTGTCCCCGGCTGACTGAGAGAATGGAGACTCTCCAGCCTTTGTAGTAGAGAACGGCAGGGAGAAAGCATTTGGAAATGGGTACTGAGTGAATCAGCCTTCGACAATCTGCCACAGTTTAATACACCTGACTCGACTCCTCTTTCTCACGCAGAAGCATTCTCTTTATGTTGCCTTTTTTTCCTTTCTCCCTTTATTGTAACTCCTTTATATAGTCTTGATATCTTTGTTATGTGTGTTTCAAAAAAAGAAACCCAAGCTCCAGCTGTAAGGGGTAAGCAAGAGAATCCTTCTAGTGACGCACCCATAGCCCTGGGAATTGGTAGTATTTGCAGAAAAATCAGATGTGCAATTCATGTCATCAGCTGCTTAAACCTGGTAAAAGTAGGCAAGTTACTGTCAGAATCTGATTCAATGCAAACCACGTTTATTGCACACCAGCGTTTATGGCCCTGGGTGCGGTAAACTCACACAGTCCTTTCTATAGTCCCCAGATTCTTTTCTCATCTTTGCTTCCTCAAGTATAAGAATGAAAAGTGAAGCTGCTTCTAATTAGTCATATCACCCATTGTCATCAGTATTGGTATAGATTTTATTTTTATTTATTTAAAAAAATTTTTTTTAATGTTTATTTATTTTTGAGAGACAGAGAGAGCAGGGGAGGGGCAGAGAGAGGGAGACACAGAATCCGAAGCAGGCTCCAGGCTCCAAGCTGTCGGCACAGAACCGGTCGCGGGGCTTGAACTCACGAACCACGGGACCACGACCTGAGCCGAAGTCAGACACTCAACCGACTGAGCCACCCAGGCGCCCCAGATTTTATTTTGATTGTAAACTGAGTATTTAAATTCACTTTTAGCTTTAATGGGCTCACTTAGAAACGAATCAGGGTTTCATAAAGAACATACCGTATATGGAAATTTTTCAGTTCTCTTAACCTTAAAAATGTTCACTGGAATACACCTGAAATCCTGTTGAAAACTCCTTTTGTGTTGGATATATAAAAATTGTACACAGCCATCTGTTTGCTTTGTATGTTTGTGTATGTATATAAGCATGCTCACATAACCAGGCTTTGCTGTGGGGATATTACTTGGAACGTCACAAATACCCGGGAAATGCGTACTGGATTTTTGTGAGTGAGTACGTTGGTTTTGTATATTCTCACGTTTTTAGAAGCCTGAATTTTCTGTGAAAGTTTTAATTTTTTAGCAATCTCTGCACCCAACATGGGGCTCGAACCCACAATGGCGAGATCACGGATCGCTCACTCCACCGACTGAGCTAGCCCAGGCGCCCCTTAGAAGCCTAAATCTTTTTTTTTTTTTTTTTAAATTTTATTTTTGGGACAGAGAGAGACAGAGCATGAATGGGGGAGGGGCAGAGAGAGGGAGACACAGAATCGGAAACAGGCTCCAGGCTCCGAGCCATCAGCCCAGAGCCTGACGCGGGGCTCGAACTCACGGACCGCGAGATCGTGACCTGGCTGAAGTCGGACGCTTAACCGACTGCGCCACCCAGGCGCCCCGAAGCCTAAATCTTTAAGCCATGAGCTTAGTACATGGTTTGGCCCATAATAGGCGCTTAGATAAATGTTAATTGAGGATTTAAAAATGTATAAGTAATTGTCACTTGATGAAATGTAGTCAGCAGAGTGATTGGGATTTTGGTTCTGTCTTCCCACCCGTTCTTGTACTGGAAAAGTAAGTATATTAAGGCAGTAGTATTTTTGGTGGCAGAGTCACTTAGTTTGCGTTAGTAAGAGGTGGAGACCAAAGAATTAATAGCTGGAAAGTTTTTGGAAAACCCGGTTAGAACTGCTTCCATAGAGTGATCTGAGTGAGAGCCAGAGAATAGCCAGTTATTGGAGGAAGCTGACAATTTTGACCGGGACAGGAAAAAGACTGGGTAACTAAAGGGCAAACGTACAAGTTTGGGGGAGAGCAAGGGAGTGGTCTTGCCAAGGCCGGAATCTGAAAGAAATGCCTCCTGGGGCCCGGATGGGGGGGGGGGATTTAAATGACTGAAGGTGGCTGGGTAGGACCTGGGGCGACCTGAAAAGCTTCTCTTAGGGTCAATGAGCCTCCGCATCTACTCTTGTTATGCAGGAATGCGAGTCTTCATCTTGCTCCCGAGAAGCAGGACAATGGAAGTCTCCACAAATTTTTAACTCTTGGCACGTCAGTCAATGAACCGCACAAAAACAAACAAACAAAAAACCCATCCGCAGGCTAGATTCAGCCAGTTTGTGACCTCTGGTCTCTGGTTACCAGAGGAATAATCGAAAGAGATTGGAGTTTGGGGAGAAAGATCATCTGTTGAAATCCTGGAAGATAAGGGTGGTGGGGGGGGGGGGGGGGTGGGGGGTGGGGGGGGGGCGGGGAACAACAACTAGCTGAGAAGCTAAGACCCGGTAGGAACCTCAGAATGTAGGGGAATCCTGTTGAGCCCGTTCTAAAACCGGAAACTGCTGAAGTTGAGGCTCCCATTAAAGGAAATGAGGAAAATGTTTAATTTCATCATCAAAGCAGGTTCTCCCCCCAGGTCCCCAACTGTGAGAAAGGATGATGGATTTGAAAGAGGCGGTGTCCGTCTTACGCAGAAAAAGTAGTACTCTTTTCCAGTCCCCCCAGGAGTAGGCCATAGCATTATCCAGAAATGATTTGCGAATTCGGTTATAGGAAAAGCTGTAGCAAGACATAAAAATTAAGTCACGTGTGATCATTTAAAGCGTCTCACCTTGATTGTAAAGAGTAAAATGTGATTAAACGGTCCCTGCCCTAGAGAGTCTGGGATGTGCGCTCATTTGTGAAGAGAGAGTGGTAAGATTGCTTAATTAATGAAGTTTAAAACAGACTGGAGGGAGGCCGGGGGTGGGGGGGTCAGTTGCGAAGTTCGCGATGCTGGTATAGTCGCGTCCGTAGTTGAGTGGCCTCTGCCAGGACTGAGGAACACGCGGGAGGGCAGTGACTGAAGGCTCTGAGTCAAAGAGGGGGAATCCTGTCCGGCCATGAACTCTCTGACGGTCTCTGTCCAGAGGGAGCCTGGAAGGAAAGAGCATTGGAGCATGAAGAAGATGACAAGGGAGGCTGATGAGAGATTAATGACCAATTTCGTGACCTTGCCGATTGAAGTGCCTTCCAACGATCAGGAGAGCAAATCAGGAAGTGCCGAGGGTAGAGAAGCTTTCTCAGTGAGTTGACAGAAGGGAAAAAAAAAAAAGGCTGACTAAATGTGGAATTTGGGGGCAGGGAGTGAAGTTAAGGATTTACATTCTTTGGGTGTGCTGGCCTGGCAAGTAAGCCCTCTGTTTCGAGTGTCTTATCTCACTCCTAAGCTTGCTTATCCCTCACTGCCCCATGTCTGGGGCTGCTTCTCCCAAGATGAAACCTCCAGCCTTCTATCGATGTGAGGCGGGAAGTGGCCGATGCGCTTGGCTGCTTAGGGTGGGGGAGAAAGTGTCGCGGGCTCAAAAGACAACCAATCTTTGGATCTTTCAGCCACATCACAGCCTTCACAGGAGCCTGGAGCCTCCGATGTTTTGAGACTCCTTGGTTGTGTACATTGGGAACCTTCTTAATTAGCCCCCAGTCCCTCCCCCACCCCCCCCCAAACTTGCCCTTCTTCCCCTCAT